TACCCGATATTGCCCCTTCTCCAAAACATTGTTCATGTCTTCTTAACATTAAAAATGAATCCAAATCAAACCTTTTCTTAGAGCAGCAAGAGAGATCTTACCAGTCAAGCTCCATGCCTTGGAGCACCACTCTCTAATCTCCTGGAGAGTAGGCCTCCTACCACCGAATCGTGCTATCAAAGAAAATCTGTATCTGCTGTTTGCTAGCAGCAGCCTCTCCTCCTCCCACTCAACAAAGGGAATACCATCTGAGTCTATTTGTGTGGAGGGCAGCTTCACAAACTCTTCTCTATCTCCAGTGGCCCTTGCCCATGCTCTGTTAATCGCTGAATATAGTAAGTGTGCCGTGAGTGGCTTCTCCCTTTTTTTGGTTGGAGATTCAGCTACAATATAGAAAAGAATTAGCTCAGGTTCACAGCCGATTGGATATCTGAGAATTAATGGAATGAACCTTATATAAATAAGAGGAATACTCTATCACTATAATAATGGATTGGAAGGCATACTCGAGTTTAGCTAGCAATCTAGCGGACATTTCAACTAAAGAGTTAACGGGAGGAGGATGAAAGCTCTCACAATGGAAGGCACGAACGGCAGAAGAAGGACTAATCTAATCCCCAGACGAGATGCGGGAAAGAGAGGTCAGTGACCCCGGGGTAGGCGACTCAATCAATAGGAATTTTCTCTGGAACGCTTAGGCCAATTCTATTTTTCGGAATGAGTGGTATGGCTTTGAAGCGGGTGTCTTGACTTATGTCATTAGCAAGGCGTAAGCTACTCTGCTGCTCGCTTCGTAAAGCTCCGCTCGTTGCTTTTCATCCTTTAGTATCTTGCTGCTTTTTCCGCTTCTGAGGCAGCATCTCTATCAGCTAGTGAGCTAGTCGCTACTAGAGTTTTTAAGGCGTTTGCGCAATCGGCTTGTTGGTTGGCTTAATTACGCTATAAGGGCTTGTAGCTAAAAGTCGTCTTAATAGCTTTCCTCTTCCTCCACCTTCACTCGCTGCCTGCCTTCTTTCGTTGCTGCACTCTCCTCCGCTCTACCTCGCATTGATCTTCTTCCGCAGCTCTTGCTTCCTTCACTTACTGCCTTAGAAAGGAAGAAGCTTAACTCATACGAGCCTCCTTGCATTGTCACTCTGCTCTTTGCTCGCTGTCTGGGAGCTCCATTCATCACCCCTATCACTCGACAACCCAAACCTTTCATTCATTACAGTAATGTGATTCTATGTCTCTGATGATTCGGCAGGAGGAAAGAGGCAAGGCTTTGACAGATCCGCTGAAGAAGGATCGGGCTTAGAAACTAGTCTGAAGCTTGTCAAAAGGCTTTTGACTGCGCTGGAAGAGGGAACTCTTGACATCTTCTCTCTTTCTTCTGGGGTCTTAGGACCCATATCAAGGCTTAGTCCCACATTCTTTTCCACAGGAGTCTCTATAGGTTTACAATTGCGCATTTGGTATCGTTCAAGCAGCTTCTTGATGTAAGTCTCTTGAGACAAACTAAGAAGTTTATTAAATCTATCTCTGACGATCTTGACACCAAGCACATAGCTAGCTTCACCCATGTCCTTCATCTCAAAGTTGGAGGACAACTACTGATTAGTGGAATAATCCTTGTCATTTCCAGCCTATGTCGTCAACATAAAAAAAAAGGAGCACGAAACTACCCTTGGACCCTTTTACATAAACACAATAGGCCTCCTCCATCAACGTAAACCCATCTGCTAAGATGGCTCGATGAAATAAATCTAAGGTACCATTGCCTGGACGCCCGCTTTAAGCCATAGATTTATCCTTTTAGCTTGCATACTTTTCGCTCCTGTCCATCAGAGCCACAAAGCCGACGGGTGTTGGTCCATATAGATCTCTTCATCAAGATCCCCATTAAGAAATGAAGTTTGAACATTTGGTAGAGCTCTAGATCCATATGTGCGAGAATGGCTAGAATGAGCCTAATCGAGACGAGTCTAAGAACTTGAGGGAATGTATCCTAAAAAGAAAGAGGAAAGCACTACTTCTTTCTTAGGGACTTCCTAACCCAGGGACAATCCGGAAGGAAATGTGAGGCCGATCGATGGAAACTTTTAGTAAGTACTCTACGAAGCTCTAACTAGTCTTGCCTATCTTGTTCTTACCCTAGATCGGGTTCCGTCTAGCTACTTGACGAAAAGAAGGATGACGCCCCTTCTATGGAAGCAGGAAGAGGAGACAGAGGCAGTTGTCTGGACGACCTAGCCAATCGTTCTCCTAGTAGGCTATTATCCATAAGGGCTTTAGCGTTGAATAAGCTAATAACTTCTACGGGACAGCGGCACTTCACTGGATCCCTATGATCGGCGTAGAGATCAAGATGCGTAGGCAAGAGATCCCTAGTCTTAGAGCTAGGCACTGTGTAAGAGTGAGATAGACGTCTAAGATAAAGAGAAGAGGAGAGAAATCCACTCCACTTCAATGCGTGGAAATTAGCCCTAGAGAAGGATGCGCATTTCCCCTTCCCTAAACGAAAGAGAGATCGATTCCTTTCCCTGGAGAACTCCACTTAATTTCCTCTGCAGTCTTAGGCTTTGGCGGTCTTTTTCATTCACTTCCCTTTTTTTTACAACATAGGAGGGAGGGGGGGGATGAGGTGGACATAGCTTATATTCCCGCATACTGTACACATAGTTATGAGAAAACTGTTCCTTTTGTTCCGGAAAAGCCTTAGCTTGTTTGCCGAAGAGAAGGCTCTTCAAGAGAAGGTATAAGTACAAAAAAAAGACTAATCATGAGCATAGCGAGAAGGAAAGGAGGGAACTGATAGCACTAGTCTCGTATCAGGGACATGGCCAGAAGAGGATGCATACGGAACTGACATAGATGCCATAGAAGGAACTGCTATACTTCATGGCATTAAGAACTCGGATTCAACAAAATAAGAAAAAGTATAGCTCTGAGGTTTAAGAGACAAAGAAAACTTGATCCCACTGATCGCCCTCCAAACAAAGCAGGAAACTGCAGTGCGAGATTAGGTATCCAAAAGGGCGTAATCTGTTCGTACATCACGAAGCAAGACAAGGAACCACTTGTATGGGGAGAGTCTAGTAAGGAACAAATTCTAGAGGTGGCATCAGCCGCTAGAAAACAAAAAAAAGGCTTTCCCCACAAGAATAGTCATAGAAGATCTAATCTAAATAAGTGCGAAGACTGCTCCCCCTATCTCTCATTGGTGGTTGGTTGGTCAACAACCCCATGTCTCGGCATATAACTGAAAAAGTAGCTTCACCTTTTTAGGAGGATCCAACCCAAGTCCTCAGTCATTCAAAGCGACATAAAGGCATTGAATATTGCTGTCAAAGTGAGAAACTCGATCCCTAGAGGAGTGAGGTTTTCGCCCAACAATATGCATATGAGTGCCTTTCTTTTTTTTTTTTTTTTTAATCATAAAAAAGAACCTTATTAATGTTCATACATACGCCTGTTTAACCAGGTTCTACAACTGCATGGCATTCCACTTTCTTCCTCTTTAGAGGGGAGGAGTTACATAAAAATGGATAAAAGTCTCACCCACGGGATGTTCAGCAGAGAGAGACGAGACGACCCAGGTAAGCAAAAGATTGACGAAGAGAAGGACGTCATAGGGATGCTAACGGCATTAGAAGCTCTCGATCCATACACGAGAGCAACTGGGTAGAATAGTGTCCAGGGGGTGGAAGGAAGATAGAAGACGAAGTAGGGAAGCTCCAACAGAGGGAGGTATGATTGCCTTACAAGGTGAAAAGACAATCGAAAGAGGGGCGCGGCCGGACCACAAATGTGTTGTGGATAAGGAGGGGGTCTTCTGTGAGGACCGTGTATGGGTTGAGATTCCAAGGCAAATGAAGAAGAAGAATGATCACATGCCCGATGAGGAAGACCTCGAGCATTTATCTCTTTGAAGGTCACACTCATATCCGATAAGACGGAAAGAGTCCGCAAGCGAGTATGTAAAAAAAAAATGACTTACAATACATAATAATGGCATATTCAGATCCGAGTTTCCGCATTAATCATCTGAAACGTGAAACGTCAACTTGGAATTAGCCGGCTCCTCCGCTTGCTTTTGGACAAGTAGCGGAATCTTGTCAATCTGCCTCTTTCCCAGGCCGAGAACTTCGTATCTATCTGAGGGCAGGACTGCCTGTGTAGGCAAAAACTCAATCAATCCAATCAAAGCTTTTTTTCCAGAGAATTTTGTACATCGGTTAAGACTCTCAGAGAGAATCTTCCGAACCAGCTAACAGACCTACCTACTACATGATATTTCTCATTCTGATCTTTTGAGTGATGAAAAATCCCGTATGGACCCCTATCCATTAAGGACATTTCATCTCTCGTGCCATCTCCGCGTAGCAAAGTTCCTATGTTCAGTTCTGAGAGAAGGCGTCGATGTCAAGTTTCCATTTCGATTTTATCTAGGGTTCTTGGATTCAATACTTGATCCTGGGGACATAGCAATGGTTGTTGCTAGTGCCCCTTGGCTTGGTTATTTAGATCAATCCATAGAAAGAGTTTTTTCAACCAGAGTTTGAGATACTAGAAAGGGCCATCTCGATTTAATGCTGATGCTGGGAAAATTTCTTTCGATGATTGATAACCTGAGGCGGAACCAACAAAACCATATCCCGTGATCTCTTACTCTTGGACATTAAGTTAGTTCAGCTCCTTCTCTTACTGATGTGGCATTTTGCCTTCAAACATCTGATTCACTAGCACCGGAAATTCACCCAACAGCTAGGCCAACAAGCCCAAGGGGAGGGAAGAGATTGTTAATCGGAAGGGGAAGATTTCGAGCGAATTCGAATCCCAAAGTCGAAAGCTCCCGCCGTTTTGAAAATTGCTGAGAAAGAACTCCACGGGACAATGGCCATTGAATGGGTCAGCAAGCGTTCGAACGAATCAAGACATACCTTGCAAATCCTCCTATTCTTGTCCCGCCAGTGCGGGGTCCTCCGCTATTATTATACCTTTATACCACGGAAACGTCGATGGGATGTGTCTGTGTCCCAGAGCAACATGATGAGACAGGAAGGAAAGAAAGGGCAATTTCTTATCTGAGTCAGAAATTCACTGATTATGAAACTAGGTATTCCCCTCTTGAGAAGACGTGTCTGGCCTTAGTTTGGGCAACCAAAAGGTTGAGACATTACATGCTTGCTTATCCAGTCAAACTACTCGCCAGGATGGATCTCTTGAAGTATCTATTTGAAAAACCTGCATTGACTGGAAGGACTGCTAGGTGGCAATTCATTTTTTCGAAATTGGATATCACCTATGTTACCCAGAAGTCAATCAAGGGACAAGCAGTGGCCGATCACCTGGCTTCGCACCCATTGCCGGATTACGAGCCGCTCAGAACTGATTTTCCCGATGAAGAGATCTTGTTTGCCACGGAAGAAGAAGGGCCTATGTCTGATGAATGGACGATCTATTTGGATGGCGCTATGAATGAAGACGGAAGCGGTGTAGGTGTTGTGCAACTATCGCCAGAGATGACCAGGATCCCATTGGCCTTCAAGTGGAGTTTCCCATGTACGTACGAACAATGTTGCTGAATACGAAGCTTGCATTGCTGGCCAGCAGCCCAGCCAGGAGCTATCAGGAAAGCGTTTGCAAGTCATTTATTATTCCTTCTTGGTAATAAGCCTTAGGAGCGGGCAGGGCAAATGGAGATTGGAGAACGAGAGAGAAAAAGCTTATACCATATCATGAGTACTTAGAAAAGCTCATGGACCAGTTCAAAGAAATAAAGTTTTACTATCTCCCGGGGGCGCTGAGCTGAAACCAATTGTGATTTTTCAAATAAATGAACCCGCATACTGTTATCAGATTGAAACAGAGCCACAGTCCGATGGGCTCCCCTGGTACACAGACATCATTAAGTACTTCGAGGATCGCACATTCCCTGAGTACGCAACAGCTAATGCCCGACGTACCATCCGGAGGTTAGCTACGCAGGAGTATGTGGGGCATTTATTGTTTTGTTTCTTACAACAATGTCTTACTGAGGTGTCTTCATGAGTCTGAAGCCCAGAAAGTTTTGAAATAAATCCATGATTGAATTTTCGGAGCGCATGTAAGTGGGAAAATGATGGCCAAAAAGATTCTAGAGCAAGGATCTTACTAGTCAACGATGGAGACTGATTGCTGCCAATATGTGCAAAGGTGAGGTTTTATTTTAACAATCAATTGCTTGAACAATTGAGGAGCGGAAGCCACCACCCTTCCACATAGAGGGATACTCGACCCTGAATAAAGAGGTTTTGGTTCTATTCGATTGAAAGCGCGACCCACCATGGGAGCTTCAGATGACCATATAAAAAAAAAGAAAAGTCTCTGATCTAGCGAAACATTCACTAGTATACAATTCAGCCCTACTTAGCCCTACCTAAGACGGAGCAGCCCATATATATGAAAAAGAAAGATAGGGCTCGATCGCCCAGGGAGAACCCAATCTGTGAAAGGATGGACTGACAAAAATCCATCGAACCCACAAAGAAGATAAAAAAAGAAAACAACTAGAGTGCCTAGGAATAGGAAAGGAATGCTTCTCCTTAAAAAAAAAAGTTAGTAGTATAAATAAGTACGCTGTGACTTATAAATAGGAAGATGAGGAGATAACGGGCGAAGGATATTCATGATATTAGGTTGGATCTCTCTTCATTCGCTCTGTTCGCGGAGCGGCATACCGAAAAAAAGAAAAGCGTTCTATTATAGGAATAGGATTGGAAGCGATGACTTAGAGCTAAAAGCAGGCGTCCTCCTATTATAAGATAATACGATACCACCTCCCACTTGACTTTAGTCCACCCGGCATAACCGCATTTCAACCAACCGACTCATTTGCCTCTCCGGGGATGAAAACCCATGATTTGATCTGCTAGCTTGAACGCCTGGATCATGCCGAGAAGAGAAGGTTAAGAAAAGACTGTCGGAACCGATCGGAGGAGTATTTCAGAGTCCATCCCCGCCTTTCTCTTTATTGAGAAAGAAGGAAAAGATATAAAGAAAGGTTAAACATCCATCGCTGCCGTGATGACGCAGTTGAGTGTTCATTCGATCCACCACCCGAGGCCAGGCAAAGGGTTCGGAGTTGGGTCCTAGGCCTAAATCGGATCGGCTTGGCTTCGTATGAATGGAACGGCATAGGAAAGCAACCATTGTAGGCTACCACGATATAATTTGGATTCCGAAAGATTTTATCGCTACTATCGGGGCGGGGGCCCGTCTTTCGAGTCGTTCTTACGGCCGTGGTAGCTGCAAGCCAACCTATACTTTCCTGGGGCTTGCTCTCTCGTCTTCTTTCCTCCGCCTTCCTCTCGTAATTGACCCTATCTTTTCTTTTCTGCTACGCCTATCCATCCGTCAGATTGACATCCAGCCGGGTGAACGATAGCAGCTCCTGTTTACTAATGGATCTGCCGCCGCTAGTATAAGAAAAAAAAAGCACATAAGGATCCGGAATATGAAAATATACTGATCACTGATCAGGATCATATACAGCCCAGTATTACCAGTAAGAAGTTCGTAATGTCCCTTCATGGCCGGCCGGCCCGATCAGTATGGAGCCGAAGGCGAAGGTTTCCAGCGGGCCCCCTTCTCTTGCTTCCCCTTAAGTGACAAGGGGGGTAAGGTAAGGAGTAGTAACAGAGTGGCTCGGTCATGTCATCGATAGGCCTCTCCTTATTCATTCTATCTATAGAGCGGGGCCGCGGACCAACAATCCAGCAAAAGGGCTTAAAAGCTCCTTTCTCAAAACTTCCCCTTTCTCTAAGTTGTAAGCATCAAAGCCCAGCAAAGCCAAGCTATACAAAGAGCTCTTTTCAGCCCCTACTCCTAACAAGTGAAAGTTGCTGGCACCCACCATACCTTGCTTCGGGGCCGATCTCTTGTATCGGAAAATATATTTTTATTTTACTTTGTTCCACCACAAATAGATTTCGCCGCATGGATTGGATAGAGTCCCCTGATCTCGACATCCAAGCACGAATTCCTTGAGAGCGCTTCGGCGGCGGATAGCAGCATGGGCAAAGCACTCTGCTGCGGCGAGCAGCCGATTCTTATTGCATTCACCAAGATAGTCTTACTCGCTCCTGAACTCTGTGGCGAGTTCAGCCACCACCTCCGGGCCTGAGCTCTGCTCGAGCGTAGTCAGCCAGCTTCGTGACTTTGCTTAGCTTCCAGCGTTGCAAAGGGATAACCTTTCACTATCTAGGCGCCCTAAAAGGAGGGGTCCCACGGAGTTCTTCCTCGAAGGTCAAGCCGTAGTCCCTGTCCCGGGGATAAGTGGAAGGAGTTAGGAGGAGGGAGCGCCCTTTGCCCGAAGAAATAGGCGGCTTCGCCTTCAAGCCGTCAAGAAAATCGAGCTAATATATGATCATGACAGTACACTGATGCATAGGTCTTTTTTAGGGCCTTTTGATCATGATGCATCATGAACGTGCCAATATGTGATCGGGGTGAGCGGTGGTTAGATATAGGGGCGGCTTCGTCGGCTTGGATTGGAAGGAAGGGCTTTGCTTTCCGATCGCTTTTTGAGGCCGGTTTGGATGAGCGTGGGCAAGTTCGGGATTCGCTATCGCTTTCGGCTTGGAGCGGCTCACCCCCTTTGTCACTTAAAGGGCAAAGTCGCTGAAGCGAGTCTAAAGGCCAAAGAGTGATCTTTGAACGCTACTACGCATCACCTACTATAGTAAGGTAGGTTTGGGTATAGCAGGACTTGAACCTGCGACCATTAGGTTAAAAGCCCAATGCTCTACCAACTGAGCTATACACCCCAAAAAAGATGTACTAGTAAATAAGGAAAGGATTGGTGCGGAAAAGAAAAGAGGGCGGCCCCTCTTCTTCTCATCATATTAAAAGGGCGCGGCTCTGTATGAGGCTCGTACTGCAGAGCAAGCGAAGAAAAAAAACTACAGGGCGCGCGTTATCACTCCCGCAAGAAAAGGGCCTAGCTAACGCGCCCCAACTTGAAAACTCAAGGAAAGCCTTGATCGATATGAGAAGCGCTCAAGCACCCAACCTATACAAGGGGCTTGGGCTCGAAAGCCAGCCTTACTCAACAAGCACCTTTCTTAGGTTGGGTGCTTGCTTACACTCATTGAAGATTCTATCCACAAAAGAAGGTCAACGGGGGAGACTCAAGTTGCTCTCACTGACACCATCTACGAGAAGGTGAGGTCGTCTTTCTTTCCAGCCGCCATACGGTTCGACTTAAAGCCTTAAAGACAGAGAAAGGGAGGAGCAGTTATCTATGTAATTACGGTCTTTGTTTTGTTGGCCGTTCTTCCGGTCGAGCACTCTCTTTTCTTTGTCCAATTCCGTCTTACCAAAGAAGACTGACTCCTTACCAACCCGCGAAGGATTGTGAGGTTGGACCAGGTACGAAGAATGAATCTCTATCTGTGCACGGAAGTTGCTGGCCGGCGGCCGCTCAACTGTTCGAGCGCAATGCAGTGGTGGTTGGTTCCGATTCGACAAGGGTAGAATGCCGGGTCGAAGGTCCAGTACAGTAGGTAGCAGGCGTGTTCGGTTTTGGCTCCCGAGCGAGAACGAGAAATAGGCGATGCACCATCCTTGCTGCTATGTACGTTGACCTTGACTTGACAGATTCATCCAATTGAACCCACACTCAAAGAGGACCACAAGCTCAGGGCTCGACGAAAGAGAAAGTATCAGCATTAAGAAACTTCTTGGGGTTAGCAGTGAAAGAAAGAGCCCGGCATTCATTTCTTCATTCATATTCATAGCTGAGTCTACTAAAAGAGGGACCAGCCTCATCGTGGTGATTAGAGGACATCTCTGATTGTTCACTTCTAATGTGACACGTTCCTTCCCTGTTATATAATCAAGGGGATCCGTCGGCTAGAGAGCGGGGCTATTCTTATTCCGGGGAGGCAAAGTAGCCCCCTCTACTGATCGAATCCTCAGTTCGGAGGTCTTCGTCAACATGTTACGAGGCTCCAGTCTTCGGCGGGTCACCATTACTTGACTTAGAAAGGCGAACATCTGGGCAAGGGAAAGCGCAGTGCGCCTGGTGCAAATGGCTTTCTTTTTTCATGATATACCAATCAGAATGGGGGGCCCTACCTACGTACATGATTGATATAATCACTACGTAGGGGGGTGGCGGTCAACTTGATGCGGGAGAGGTATGAGTGCAGTTCGATCTTGTGGTGTATTCGTTTATAGTTAATAGGGCCTCTTTCTCGTTGATCAGTTCGACTCCGCTCTATTGAAAGGTCTCCATTCCTACGGCGGTTTTGTCAACGAACGCGTCTCGGGCCGGATTGACTAACCTAACCCTTACAGAAGGGGGCCTTGCCATAGTTGGGTGCTCCGCTTTAGTGTGATTGACGAAGGCTAGGCTAGGTTTGGTAATAGCCAAAACAAATGAAAAGAGATGGCGGTTCCTCGGCCTTGCCCCATTCCGCTTCTTAACCTATGTCTTGGGTTGGGAAAGCTGCTTCACTTCGTGCCTCTGCCCTTGAAGCCCCTCCTTCTCCATTCGACATGGCTACAGCCAGACAGTCTTTCTTTCTTGAACGTAGGGCAGTTCGTTTCTAATAGATCAAGATCAGGTCGAAATCAGACATTAGATCTGGGGAAAACTACACTTGCATTCCTTCATTGATGTGATGTAATCTCGGTTGAAGATGAATCAGGTGCGACAGAACCCATTCAATTAGCTGCCGCTTTCCTTCAATTCAACTACCTGCCACTATAGGAAGTGATGTTCCCAGGCTAGGCTAGTGAATCGGGGTAGCTTCTCTCCCTAGGGTCGATTGTCCGTCTAGTGAGTTAGCGCTGAGACTTTCTCTCCTTCACCCACCAGTCAAGTCAGGGCTGGTCATGGTGACAAGAAATGCTGTTTCAACTCAATCTCTGTCAAGTTCTATTGTTTTGGCTAATGCCTGTGGCGTTGACCCCTATCTTTCAAGTTCTACTCGCTACTAAAGAAAGAAGGTACGGTCGAAGCGAAGGAGTCACAAACCTTCAACTCATCGAGGAAAAGGCAATCTTCTCTTTATCTATCTCTTATCTTTGCTCTTGACGTAGTGGCTACCACCAATTTTTCTAAGACTAAGATCGATAGACGAATGCGCCCCGTGATGAAGAGAAACTGATCTTCTTAGTCCCAGAGTATTGTAACTCACTTAGTCTGGAAACTCAGCGCTGAAAGCCCGATTGCCCGATGTTCGACTTTGAAAGCGAAACTGGCTTTGTTTCTTGCCCTCGCCCTGAAATGCTAGAAGTTTGCGATATCGCTTCTCTTGGGCTAATGCTTGGTAGTGCCCGGACTTGCTTTCAACCCCACGGGCCGTCAAAGAAAGGAGAGTGGCTGATTGAACACAATCAATGCTTTTAAAAAGCCCTCTCCGACAATCATAGTCTCAGTGGATGCATCTTGAGGACATACTTCAACTGTGAACCTGATTGATTTGATGATTCGTCTTTTTTCGACTTGCTTTATCTCACAAGGAACTGCTAGCGTCTGAGTCTATCCCAAATCCCTATCGTGAAATAGCTTAGAGAAAGCTCATGGGAAAAACCACACTTTTCTTTATTCGGTTAAGTCAATCAGCCCCTAAGCTGGCCTCTGTCTTGTCCGTCTAAGGCTGGGACTCCCCCAATGGAATGGTGTTTGAGCGGCTTGGCATTCCGCCCCTATCGCTAAATCAATGAGATACGTGGATCAAGAAGCTCTCTTTGTTTGAGCGGCTGTCTCTCCTCTGCCTAAGGTCGAGTTACTTTCTCTTGTTTTGACTTGAACGCACGTGACTCACTCGCCCGAAAGAGCGCTTTCACATACCTCAGATTCTCTTATTCATAGGCTAACGAAGAGATCCGGTTCTACCTTTCCCCTTTCTATGGGGTGGGACTGGCGAGCACTCCTTGCTTCAGACCTCTTGGATTCGATAGTGGGACTCCTCGCTAATGGGGATTCATCCTCTCCCGAGGGCCTGAACGCGCTATTGAACCTCTCGGTAAGGTCAAATGGCATTCCGCTACTGACCTAATCGACTGTTAGACCTCCGGACTTTGATCCATCAGACATGAATGAAAGGGTAGAACCACTCTAATGATTATACGAATCCCTACTCTCATCAAGGGCAGGCCTTTTGTTTTCTTAAAAGCTTCAGTAATAGCCAACCTATCTGTTATCAAATGGCCTAGTCGGAACTAGTCTCGTTACTCAAGCAAAGCAGTCAGCAACCGCATAGAGAGAGTGAAGCCAGGAATGGAATTGGTGACTAAAGCCAATCCCTCTCTTCAAATCCAATCACGTATAGAAGATAGTTGATGCTTTCTCTCCAACTCCCTCTCTTTCCATCTTGACTGTTAGATCTCCGTACTGGGACAAAAAAGATCGGAAAATAGAACATGTTCTACCCTTTCCTTAGATTGCTTTCCTTTTTGGCCTGGAGACCTCTCTCCCAATGCCGCTACGCCCCTCTAATCAAGAAGAAAATGTGAATCAAGTTATGCGGCTCCTCTGCCTCTTGGTCAAGCAGCTTCTCCTTTTTCCATTCAAGACTGGAAGCTAAGCAAAGTCACGAAATTTCAACTTTTACCCTGCTGATCTTCTTCTTGTGGACAGTGCGATGACAGTTTTTAATGTGCTTCTCATGTACCGGTACCGGCCTTTGGGTCCGATCAGGCTTCCCCCTTTACTTCTTCCTAAGGTCGAGCTGCTATCGCTGCTTGCCCCTCTCGTCTAGTGGCTTTTGCCTTTTTCGATATTGTAAACTGTTTGTCTAGAAAGAGAATGCCTACTATAAGAAGACATAATCTAAGGGAAAAAAGAAGACATGAGATCAAGTGAGAACTCAAGAAGGTTCTTTCTCCTCAAGAAAGAAAAGACGGCACGGAACTTGGGTAATGGCTTGTAGCTTTTCCACCTACCCATCAGACAATCTCTACTTTGAGACCTGATGAATGAAGGGCGGGCTCACTCCTCTAATGCCGTGATAGAAGAGAGCAAGATCAGGTTCTGACTTCACTTGACCCCCTACTCTCATCAATCATAGACTTTGAGATCGAAACTGGCTTACTGGCTGATGGCATCTTGTGCCTTCTTGACCTAAAGAATGGGAGACCTAATGCTTTGAGTTTGCCTGCTTTCTTTATGGAAGAGAGGTTCCAGGGGAATCAATGCTCTCAGCTGAAACAGGGCTTGAAGCCTTCGGGAAATCTTCTCCTTTCTGCTCTTCTTCTTCCTATCGAGGTAGCTTCTCTTCTGACTTTGCTTTTTTTTTATTCTCTCTCTGTCAATCTCATCTATAAGTCAAGGCTTTTCACAATCCATACTTTTCCAAGTCTTCCTGTTCCGCTCCTTTCCCGGTTATAGATAGAAGAGACTCTGATCCCTCCTAACTAAGTTGCGTAAGTGATGATGCCACAGAGGTGAACCAGGTCTCCTTTGATTCCGTACTCAAAAATTCAATTAATGAATGAAGTGCGGTTTCACTCGTTTTCCTTTCCGTCCCGATGAGATCTGGTTCTCGAAGCGGGTTCAGACTCAGATGAGTATATCTCGACAGGAAACCTCAAAGGCTGACTTGCCTTGATTGAATATAGGTCGGTTCCAGGGGAATACGTAGAGAAATCATCTTCTTAAGAAGGCTTCCTGGGTTTGTTAATGGAAGAAAGCTTCTCGTTGGCTTTGTTGCATGCTTTCAAGAGTGAAGGTCAATTCAAGTATCTGGATCCTCCGCTTCTGCTCGGGTGACTGCTAGCTCCTTGACCGATGAGACTCTACCCCGCCCCCAACTCTAGCTGAGAAAGACCCTACACCCACTTTCCCTTTTCCGCGTGTCCAAAAGCCCGGCCTTTGTGGATTGAGGCATTTTCTACCGCTGTTTATTTAAACAATCGTTTTCCCCTACCGGTCCTAAGCAATCGTTCCCCTTATGAGGTCCTATTTGGTTCAGTGTCATATTAGAGTCACTTGAGACTTTTGGGGTGTGCATGTTATCCTCACTTGGGGCCTTACAGAAAGAAAAAACTCTCTCCCAAGTCTATCTGTTGTGTTTTTCTTTGGTACAGTTCAGTTCATAAGGGTTATCGCTCTTTGGATCCATCTTCCGGTCGGGTCTATATATCTCGACATGTGATTTTTGATGAGCTGTCCTTTTGCAGATCGGCCAGGCTCTACTTCACCTGGACTCCTTGCCAGTCCATCTGATTCTGCCACTCCAAATATCACTGGTTCTGTCATTACATTGCCTCTGCCTATTACTCAGGATTCACAGGCCACCATGGCACCACCTGCACCTGCAGGCGGCTACAGATACATCAGCTTCACTGGAACTCTGGCGGCTAGCATTGTGCATTGGATCGATGGATAAGAGAACTTTTTTCTCATTCAGAGCGGTTAGCTATGTGCTGACAAGCAAAGCTAAGCTTCTCTCTAAAATGAGGGAGTCTTTTCACTTTAAGCAGATTAGGACAAGGGAGAAAGAGCTTGACACTCCCATGTTTTTGGACTGTTGGCTTTTTTTTTCTTAAAATAAGGCAGGTTATTCAAATTTGAACCATTAGAACGTTCTGTTCTGCGGCCTCTGATTTGACAACACAGTGAGATCTGTAATCATACTTGTACAATGCTGATGTTATAAAAGGTGGTGGTCATGGGCTTGGCTCCTCTGGGTTGTACTCCCCACTACTTGTGGCTACACAATATCAGAAATGGAGAATGCCTTGATGAGATCAAAAATATGGAAAGATTGGATCTAGCTCAGCAGGATAGGTTACTCAACCATACTGACGGATCGGAATAACATAACGAAGTATGACTTCGCTAGTCGCGAGGAAGTGTACCGGCGTCCGTACTGGAGCGGATTTCCGATAGTTGGAAGGCAGCTGCACACAGCATCTAAGAAAAAAATGAACCTCTGTTTGCCCAACTCTTTTCTTTTTTCCTCAGAAGAATGCCCTTGACAGTGATGTTGTGTCGGATCTTGACTTACTATACTACGAAATTACTGGTCTATACATTGATTGCCAAAAAAGCTTTGATGCCGGCCTCATCCCACCCATCCTTTGGAAAATTCCCTAGCGCTCGAGGCAAGGTAGGAATGTTCGGGCTGAGCAAAGACTTTACTTTAAAGTAAGTTCAGGCTGACTTTTAAACTAACCAAATCGTGCAGAACTTCATCGAGAAAGGGATGCTGCTTGCCTTCCCGGAGTCCAAGAGGCCGATGCAGATCGACAAGTAGACCTTTGCTAAGCGGGTCCATACTGCCGGAGTTGCTAAAATGGAAGAAGAAAATCCGTTACCAGGTTTTGTCGACGACGATGAATGAATAAGGGAACCCCGGACTTGCCCAATATAGCATCTTCGTTAATCGTATTGAGCTAATCGGAGCACCGAGAAGTCACTCACGTCCGAAGCCGGAGGTTCGTGCTCAGTCTCAAAATCTCGTTCAGCACACTGGAACCAGGGACACCACCTTAGGGAGCTTCTTTGGCTGGCCATGCTTGGCCGACTGCCTACTTTCTTATCCCATCCACCGCCCTTCATCTAACTGCTTTAGTCAAGCAGTCACGTGCCTCTTCCTTAATTCCATCAAGCCTTCTGCTACTCGAATTGCTGAGGCCAGGTCCTGCAGATTTCGTTTTTGCAGCTCTTTCCGTGCCCACTCCTGGAGACCCATCTCAAACCTAAACACCTTGTCTTATTCTGCCATGTTCCCGATCTACAGCATCAATAACTGCAACTGCCTAACAAGCGAACACTACCTATATATCATGTTCCAGTTTACTTCCTGACTATTCAAAGCATCGAGAAAGAAATGGTTTAATAAAAGTTATCTCCTCGACCGAAAGCAGCTCTTCCACTCATCTCATTAGCAAGAAAACCTCTTCCTTGCAAGGAGACAGATGCCTTATCATCCCTATACCCTATATTCTACCTGAGAACTAGGGCTATGTCTTCAATGTCGGCCTGACGAGTGATAGAAATACCTTACGAGGGCTAATTTCCACTATTAATGGTCAATCAATTGACTTCCGACTGCACTCTACACTCTAGCTTTCTTTAATTCCGTTGGATTGCTTTGGATGCTTCCTGCTTTCAGTAAAGTAAGGACTATGCTTCTAAGCGGCATTAACATCAAAGAGAGGATTCGGTGGAAGTAGGGAAAAAAGCACAGTTGTAGTTCCGCTTTAACTAATAGTATTATAAAAGAGTAAAAAAAAAATGGATCGAATGGCCAAACCTGGCTCCTAGTACGTACCGTTATTTACACCTATAACAGGACACCAATACCCTACCCTATTGGAGAGAAGCTCTAAGCACCACTGAACATGAGAGTCGAAAGACTTTTGCATCGGTCGTCTAGGTTCTAATCCGTATATCACCCGGGAACTCACTGTTGAAATTCCGGCAACTTGTTCAATTCCTTCTATTATATAATAGATCAGCCCTTATCAAGAACTCTCGCCAAATCACCAGCCTTCCTATTACGCCAGAATGTACTACCACCGTGGTCATTCATTCCTATGCCAAGGCCGGAGGCATGGCAGATGAACTTCACTTTGCCCCTCCCTTTCACTTATACGAATAGCTCGTAATGCTGCGTCTTTTCCGAAACCGGGACCTTTTCTTTTCTCATTACTTCTGCTCCTTGCATACCCTTTTGTCTTGAAGTAAGACATTTGAAGCAAAACATTCGAAATAACTCGTAGTAGAAATAGCACATATATTTAAGTTTGGATCCGCTTTATTTATTCTCTTTTTCCTTTAAGGAACTCCTATTTCTCTCCAGCCAGACGCACCAAAACAAGCAAACGGGTGCTGTTATCCATATCCTGTTAGTATTCCTCCTTTTCTTATAAAGAAACCAGCTTAGCAAAACTTCTTTCACCAAGTACGGCATGACCTATTGAACACCACACATAGTAGCAGCTCTCAAAGCTCTCTGGTCACACTAGACTGTAGCAACAAGTGGTTAGTACTTTCACCTTCTTGCTTGCCCATAAAACACCAATTAATATACACCTTACCCCCTTCTAAGATTTTCACCAGTTCAAATTGCTCCTAAGAAGCTTCACATGCAAAAATGGCAACCTTTTTAGGGGTGTTAGAGTTTCGCTTCCAAATAGCCATGGAAATGAATTATCGGCTGAGTAAGTGAATGCCTCATAACAGGATTTAACAGAAAAATTCCTTTTTTTTTCTTTATTGATACAGATGATTGTTCGGGCATCTCCTTGACCGAAGGAGTAAAGAAGAAGCTTTCATTTTCTCTTAACGTTAGTGCGAAGAGAGTAAAGGTATTCCCCTATCCTTCTCTAGGGGATTCATTAAAGGACCTATATTTATCCCTGATTGGCCATTGATAGATCAGACTATCACCTCTTTTTGTTGAGATTTTCTTATACAGCGAACTTGTTTAGGTCAAAGAAGAGAGAGGCTAGGAATCCGGAATCTTCCCCTTTGCATTTATTATATGAAAAAAAAACTACTAGGAGCCTATTCTTTGAACCTGAAAGATTAGATATCTAGCATTTCTATTATTAGTAAGCCTTTGTTTGAAAGATGTTGATGCATTTTTGGTGATGGTAGAGCCCTTTTATTTTACTAGTAAGGCTCGTAAGTGAGATTTGGGTCCTTAGCTAGCCCATTTTTTGTTTTAGAGGTGGTAGACATCCAGGGGTAGGAATCGCTCCTTTCGCGTCGGTTACTTGGACAAAATCAGTATGACAAGCCCACCAATCTCACTGTGGATAAGAACCAGATTGACGAAGGAATGCTTCACATATGTCTCGACTTCGACAGGCCCAGCTCCTCGATCTCTGGCTTTATGCCAACTCTATTGTATATAGAGCAGATCTATCTTTTTTCTAGTATCCTTGTGAGGTGTCTGATTCCAGTCCCTAACAGCCTTGGTGAAGCGATCTATGGTTTCTGCAATACAACCCTCTTCAAAGCACCAAGCTTTCTGAACAAAATCTGGGAATTCCGGATGTGTCAACCACGCCGCTTCCATTCTTCAAGGTCTGAGTGTACGCTGTGAAACTGACAGTCCTTACATTAAATAAAAATTGGATGGTGATCGGAATGCATTCTAGGGAGGTGCTTGACAAAAGCTTCTTGAAACTGAAGCCTCCAGGCTTGATTACATAAGGCTCTGTCCAGCCCATTGGCTCGACCCGGCCGGATATTGTAAATGCTGGGCCTGAGTGAGCCAGATCAATGAGATTGGATTCCAAGACAAACTCAACCAATTTTCTGCACCTTTAGTGTCTCACTGGGGCTCCCCCTTCTCCTCTTGAGACAACTTCATTCATGTCCCCTGCGTGAAAGCCAGGGCATATTAGCTACTCTCCCCGCCCCCTTCCTTAATCTGAATATATTTCCTGAGCTCCTCTGGGGTTGGGAATGGCATAAATAGCTGTAAATAACCAGTCCATTTCCTTTGTTTCATAGCTTTCGGTTTCTTTTGTTTTCTTCCTCCTTCGACGGAGCAAGTTTGAGTATGTGTTCAGCGAGGAAGGAGAAAAGGATCTTCTTAAACTATCTACCTCTGGTTTCCCGTATAGATCCACCTTTCTTCAAAATAAAGAATAAAATAGAAAGAAGAAAAAGAGAGATTCTCAGTACCACGAGTAGACTAACAAGAGAGGAACTACGAGTAGAAAATCAGTAGTCACTCTTCGACTTAAATCACCATATTGCGTAAGAGAAAGAGCGAGATATTGAGCGGCCGAAAATGTTATGTAATAAAGGATCGAGGAGGATTCAGGAGGAGAAGGAGGATTAGTAGGAGTCCGTTTTCTGACGGAATCGAATGATAACGACAAGGATGGAAAAGTTTTAGTGGGCCTGGGTGTTAGCAAGTATGTTCATTGTGCCTGGACTCATTTCTTCAGTTTGTTTGATCCTAGGCGTAAGTTTACTGGTTCAAATGAAGCGGCGATATCTTGGGGAAGGGGAAGACGCGGGGTAGAGGAATTGGTCAACTCGTCAGGCTCATGACCTGAAGACTACAGGTTCGAATCCTGTTCCCGCATAATCATCTGAAGCCGTAGTCAGCCTCAAGATTCCGTAAGTAACTCAGTGCATGGCTTAAGGCTTAGAAAAAGAAAATGAAATAAGGAACAACCGCGCTGGTTGTAGTCGTTCCGCCCTTTTCTCGAAGAAAAGTTTATCATGACTCATTTCATTCCCTTTTTTGGTGTCTTAGCAGTAGGTTTTTTCGTACGTTTTCTAGGATCAGAAGGAACCGCTGTAATTACCAGAAGTGCATTTCTCTTTCTTATTTTTTTTGTGTTGTTAATAATTCTTATTATGATTTCTCGCTTTAGATTTTCAACAAAAAGAAAAAAGAATTGGATTCTTTTT